GGGAGAGGGAGAAGCAGGCTTCCCGCCAATCAGGGAGCCTGATGCGGGGCTCGATCCCAGGACCCTGGGATCACGACCTGAGCTGAAGGCAGATGCTTAATGACTGAGCCACCCAGGCGCCCCTTAAGATTTCATTTTTAAGTAATCTCTATACCCAATGTGGGGCTCCAAACTTACAAGCTGGAGATCATGGTCACATGCTCCACCGACTGAGCCAGCCAGTCACCCCAGGGTGGGGGGGTTCTTGAGGGGTAAGTTGGATCAAGGGCTGGCCTGGGCGGGAGTCAGCAGCTTCCCCGATCCCAGAACTTTGGCTAATACAGGGTTATCTAGAACCAGAGAGGGTGGCTCAGTTGGGAGGAGAGGAGGTGAGGCCTGGGGGGATCAGGGGGGATTTCGGCATGCTGAGCTAACCCTGGCGGGGGCTGTGCACACCACTTCCCTTCCCCTCATTCGCCCACCTCTGGAAGGGGTGTGGGCCTCACGCTGCTGCAGCCTGGGGTCCTCCAGGGCCGGCCTGGGAGGGATGCTTGATGAGAGCACGTGGGGGGTCAGAGCAGATACTCCTGGCTCTCTCTGCTATGGAGCTGGCAATCAACAGGAAGTGAGTCCCAGGGTGAGAGGAGGCCATGTGGTCCCCAGGCAGGAAGTTAGTGACAGCAGAGTTGTCTCAAGCAGCTTTGTGGGCTGGGAGCCTGCTCCAACTTGAGGTGTCTTTGGGGCAGCAAGTGGCCAGAAGGTAAAAGGACACGGCCGTGGTAAGAGCTTGACTCTGACCTGAATTCCCCAGCCCACCTCCCTGGCAGAGGCACGATCAGAGCTCTCTGATGCCCAGCACAGCTGAACATCGGGGTGGCTGTGGGGGCCTGGGCATGCCCCACTCTGTTTGGGCTGTCTAGAGGTGAGAGGATTTCTACCAGGGAGGGGCGTTCTAGGCCAGGGAACCCTGTCGGCTTGACCTGGGAGGTGGGAAAGGCCATCTCAGTCCTGGACAGAGTGTGTCCCAACACTCAGGGATGGAAGCTAAGGAGAAAGACAGGGCCTACTTGCTCACTCGCATTCCTGTGTCTGACCTCCTGGCCCTGCTGCCTTCAGCCCTCTGTGCCCAAGGCTAGGCCAACAGAGGACTTCTTGCCTCCTTCTCTTGCTCCAGCCCCCACCCCCACCCGCCGAGGACTGCACACCTTTGCAGCTTTCCCTGGGAGCTTCCCTTCCTGGAAGGAGGCCTGCCCCAGGCTGCCCCACTCAGCCAGGAAAACAGCTTGGCAGGCAAGTCCCTCTCCTCGCCCTTAGGCTGCTCTGTGTGCCTGGAACCTTGTCCAGGGAAGACTCTGGTTTTTATTTTGTTTTTATTTCTTTATTTTTGTCCCCAAGGCCCTTGTCCCTATTTGCCACCCTGGGGGTTCCTCAGCAGACAGCAGTGGGCTCAGAGTTGAGGATATAGACCTTAGAGCGGAAGCAGCCTTGGAGATTGCCAGGCTGTGTGGGAGGGAGCCCAGCGTGCTCTGAGGCTGTCAGGGTGTGCCCGAGGGGTACACCTCTTTGGAGGGAATTTGGCCTGTCTACTCACACCTAGGCAGGCCCTCCACCAGCCAGCCCACCTCTGGGACCGCGATCTATAGACATACGCAGGCGCACGGAACTGTAAGTGCACGGGGTTCATTGCAGCAAAAAGCAAATCGGCCCAAAGGCCCACTATTAGGGAACTGTTTGAATAAATTATGGAGCATCCATTCAATAGAATGTTGAGCAGCTGTGAAATAGGAGACAGATCCATATGCACGGGTATGGAGTGATGCCCACTATGCTTGTTAAGTGAAAAAGCAAGTTATAGAACACTGAGTAGCAAGACACCCTATTAGAAAAAAAAATTCTGGATCTGGCTGTGCGTGTGAATCCATGTGTGTAAACATGTAACTCACAGATGATTGTAGACACAGAAACAAAGTCTAGAAAGGATCCTCACCAAACTGTTAATAAGGGTTTACCTATGATTTCAGAGGTGGGGGATTGAAAAAGGAGCTTTAACTTTTCACCACGACTCATTTTTGGTCACCACGACCAAAATAGGTGGAGCAGCCGAGGCACCCTCCTGAGCAGCGCCTTGCTGGGGTGGCAGGCTAGCCACGTGTCTGCCCTTCCCAGAGGCATTCCACGGATGGAGCCAGGTGGGATTGCTGAGGGCAGCCCTGTGCCCATGGGCGTGAGCACAGGGGACGCTTGCCTCTTCCTCCGCAAGAGAGCACCTCCATTCCTCTGAGATGCTCTAGCCTACTTGCCCCCCCGCAGGGCCGAGGACAGAGTGTTCCCCAGGCTCTCATGCCCTCACTCTGTCCTTACAGAGTGTGTGACCTTGAGCAATTCTCTGTGAGCCTCCTCAGGGAGGTTGAGCGGCTCTAAAGGATGGTCATGGTGAGAAGGAGCCTTGCCCACCAGGCAGTGGCATTTACAAAGGACAGTTAGAGGATTACCCTTGATGTGATTCTTATTACCTGGAACTGTAGCAAGTTCTGTTCTTAGACTCTTGGGGATGAAGGGATACATTTCCTTCTGGAAGGGGAACGTGAGACCACATGCCAGGGGGCGCTTACTGTGGACGCTGCAAACTGCTTGTGGGGGCTATGGATCTCCAGGGTCAGGGTGCCGGAGAGACGGGGGGTCCAGAGCTGAAGGAAAGAACTGTGCTGGGCTTTGGGGCCCAACAGAATGCTTATTTGGGAGGCCTCCTTTGACCCCTTTGCTCCAATGTGCAGCTAGTCCCTGTTTGGGTCTGGGCCTTGAGAGGCCAAAAGGAAAGCCGGAGGGATCTGGCAAAAGTCAGATCAGCCCAAAGTTACCAGAATTGATTGGTGGCACTAGAGTCTTCGGAGGAGGGGTTCTGATTTGAAGTAGGGATAGTGTGAAGAATGTTTGTTTTTAAAAAAAAAAAAAAAATTTTTTTTTTTTTTTTTAAGTAAGCCCAGTGTGAGGCTTGAACTCATAACCAACCCTGAGATCAAGAGTTGCATGCTCTACCGACTGAGCCAGGCAGGCACCCCAGAATGTTTGTTTTCACTTACATATATATGTATTTCTTTCCCCACTTATGTATAGAGGAACGTTTGTTTTTTTTTAATAGGGGCTTCAGAGTAGGCTCGGAGGCCCTATGTCACCTTAGGGAGTGGGGGTGCTAGCTGCCGTGGGTCACAGCTTGGGCATTGAAACCAGGCTGGCAGACCTGCCTGCATTCTTCTGCTTCTTATGCTCGAGTCCACAAACCTGTTGACTTCAGGGAGTCAGGCCCAGAGATCCCTTAAAACTGAGAGCAGAATTGTGTGTATTTGCTTGTGCGGACACTTATGTGAACAAGGTTTTCTGGACAACGGGTGCATAACTTTCACCGGAACTTCAGAGGGGTTAGTGATCCAAAAGAGGCAAGGCCACTGATCTAATTGTCCCCTCCTGTTTCTTCATCTTTCCAGGTGGAAAGCAGTGACACGCCAAAGGACCCTGCAGTGACCTCCAAGTCCCCGTCCATGGCTCAGGACTCAGGCCCCTCAGAGCTGTTACCCAACGGGGACTTGGAGAAGCGGAGTGAGCCCCAGCCAGAGGAGGGGAGCCCCGCTGGAGGGCAGAAGGGCGGGGCCCCAGCAGAGGGAGAGGGTGCGGCTGAGACCCCGCCCGAAGCCTCCAGAGCCGTGGAGAATGGCTGCTGCACCCCCAAGGATGGCCGAGGAGCCCCTGCAGAAGAGAGTGAGTCCTGGGCGCAAGGGGCAGCCTCTTCTGGGATCCCCAGGATTCTCCCAAGGGTTAGAGACTGGGGGCCAGCAGGCCCCAGGAGGCACGGGAGCTGGAGGTCTACTTGCCAAGGCTGTACCCCGGAGTCTGCTGGCTGGCTGCAGCCTGCACACATGTTTTATTTGGCCCATGTAGTGTTTTAAACATTTTCAAAAATTAGTTGCCAGTATTTAAAAATCAAGAAATTTCACATAAAAATCTGGAGTTTTGGCTTCTCGTGGAAAAAAAAAAAAAAAGCTAGATCTGGCAACAGTGGATTTATAGGACGCCAACAGTTGCAGGACTGGGGTGATGGCTGTCCCCCTGCCCGACCCCCCCCACCCCTTCATAGTCTGGTTGTGAGCCTCAGTTTCCTTCAGCCCTCACGTGGCCTGCTTCCTCTTCTACAAGCCCTGCAGCTCCCGGGGACTGCGTGTGTAGCCCCTGGCCTGGGTGCTCCAGGCAGTGGATGCCCTCGGAGCCCTGAAACCCCAGTTAGCCTGCCCCAGCACAGATGTCTCGAACCCACCACAGTTCAGCTGACTCAATTCAAGTGTGGTTGTGACTGAGCAGGGTGGGGGTGGGGCGGAGGGGGGTGGCCAGTTCGCCGCCCCGGCCCAGACCCCTTCCTCCCCAGACTTTCTGGTCTTGCCCTGGAGTCCTGGAAAATTGCCTACTTTTCTCTTTCAGGTTAAGCCAGTGATTTCAGGGCCAACCGAGCTGTAAACATGTTAGTAATGAGGACAACTAGCATTTGTATGGGGCTTCACAGTTTACAGAGCGCTTCCTCATATATTATCACATTTGATCCTCCCGGGGCCCTGCCAGGTTGTTTTGCATATGTGCATTTTAATTCAAAAAGTCTTCCAAGTGCGTCTGATGGAATGAGTAAATCGATTAATTGGCATAACTTATTTTGCATGGATCTAAACCCAATATTCATGCGGGATTGAGAGCATTTCCAGAAAGGAGATTTCCAAATTAAAATATATATATATTTCATTCATTTATTGTTCAACTAATATTTATGATGTTCCCATTATGTGCAAAGCGCTTTTTAAGGTACTCTGTATTCGCTGTTTTAGTTCTCCAGACAATCTTCTTCAAGAGGTATTGTTATCCTCATTTTAAGGCAGGAAAAACCTGCCACTTAGCGAGATGAAGTGACTTGGTCAGGGCCTCCGAGCCTGTAAGTGGTGGATCCAGGATGCATTCCGTCTTGGTTTCAAAGTTGGTGTGCCCTTCTGCTGTCTCCTTTTATTCTGCAGTGGGGCTTGGGGCAGGCTAGCCCGGAACTGCCCAGGGCGTCTGGCCTCACCTGAGTGCCTTGTGGGTAGGTCCTGACACTGGGCGGGAGTGTTCAAGGGGCCGGAGTGGAGGGAAACTGAGGAGGAAAGGGAGAAGAGACCCCATCCCTCCCGCTAAAAAGACCAGGTATTCCAGAGCGGAAACTGGGAGCCTATACGCTCCACCCCCCGCCATGTGCTGATTCTTGGGACCCCACCACGACTGGCAGTAAGCTGCAGTCCTTCCCGCCTGGTGGGATGGAGCCATAGTTCTAAGGCCGCTCTTAACCCTTGAGGGTTTGCTTTCACTTTGGTGTTTCCCTGTCTCCACTTCCGTTTGTTCTCCAGAGTTCCTTCTTCAGTCAGTCAGTAGGTGTATATGAAACATCCATTGTGTGTGTGTGTCAGGATCTGGGCAAACCGTCATGAACAAAATCCTGGTTCTTGCCTTCAAGGACCTCAAAGTCCGCTGGAAAGACAGACGTTAATGAGAAATTCACACTGAAAGGCGTGTGATTATACAGGGAGATAGGTTCTCTAAGAGAAAATAAACACGGTTCTCTGAGGAACTGTGACCAGGGAAACCCCAGGCAGCCTGGCCTGTTCCACGGAAGCGGAAGGATGACTGGGGGTTCACCAGGTGAGGGGTGGTGTGGGAGGGAGTGAAAACAGGTACAGAGGCTCCTGGGTGGGAGGGAGCAGGGCACCCAGAGACCTGACCGAAACCAGTAAGGCTGCAGTGAGAGAGCAAGGAAGAAGGGTGTGAGAGCTGACGGGACCAGGGCAGGCCTTTGAAGACACCCTCGGGCGGGGGGCAGGTGACATGATCTGCTTTGTGTTTTGAAAAAATCACTTTGCTCTCTGGTTCCCAGAGTGGAGCCGAGGGGCTGGGAAGCCGGGTTAGGGGCTGCTGCAGGCATGGTGGAGGGGAGGGCGGCTGTAATGAGGTGGCAGCAGAGGTGGAGAAGCGGGCAAGCGCCAGGAGCCCAAGGGGAAAAGGGAGAGATGGTGTCCAGGTGACTCCTGGGTTTGGGATTTTCCCACATCAGGGGACCTTCCTCAGAATCTTAGTGCTGAGTGTGGCAGGCCAATGCTCCAAGCCTCCCTGACCCCCCAGTAGCCTCGGAGCACTCTTGGGTGCTGGCAGCCTCAGAGCTGGGGGGGGACCCCTGAAGGCCACCATGCATTGCCTGGATGCTGAGACCGGCGAGGTGCTGCCCGGGGGCGTAGGCAGCGGTCTGCTGGGGGCTCGGCCACCTGGCCTTCAGGCAGCCACACAGAACGCGTACGCAGCTGCTTAGTTCCAAGGTGGAAGGAGACTGAGGCCCCAGGGAGGAAATGAGTTGGCCATGGTCTCCCATCTGTTCCCCTCACTCCAGGTTTCCTCTCAGGGGGCCCCATCTGTCTCCCCTGAACCCCTCCCATTAGTTCCTATACAGGAAAAACGGAGGACTTTAAGGCAACATTCCTGTGCACACAGGCGCCCCAGATCCTGATAGTACAGCCAGGAGAAAGAAGGAGGAATGGGGGAGATGATGAGTCATCAGGCCAAGAGCCACCTGGATGGGCAGGTGGCGGCCTCGGGACTGCTTCTGCACTCCTAGCATTAATGCTGCCATGATCCTCATAGAAACGATGGTAATATGGCTTTCTTTTACTGAATATTGACTATGTGTTGACTGTCCTATATCCTCACTACTCAAAGTGGCCCATGGGCCAACAGTGTTGCCTGGTATCACCTCTGAAGTTAGAAATGCCGAATCTCAGGCCCCACCCTAGACCTGTGGAGTCAAAATCTACATTTTAAAGAGATCCTGATTTCGATGCATATTGAAGTTTAAGAAGCCCGGCTCTTTAGTTACACGTTCTCTTGTTTAATCTTTGTGATCATGTGAGGAAGACTCTTATTGTCCCCATTTTTAGATGGGGAGACTGAGGGTTCAGAAAGGTTAAGTTACTTACCCAAGATTATCCAACTAGTAAAGGACCCTTTTCTGCTCAGATGGAACACCCAGTATTGGGTTAGTGACTGCCCTCTGAGGCAAGCCTGGCCTTAGCCTTGTCATGGAGATTTGGGTTCCTTTTAAAGGAAATTTGGGGCGGGTCCCCCGGCTGAGTATAGGCTTAGACCGATGGGTAAGTGTTGGAAGCACCCTGGCCTCTCCTGCCCCCTGGACCTGAGATACTCTAGGGTCATGTCTGAGCCTGCCAGGGCCACCCTGGGAGGCATGCAGCCACCTGGCCCGCCTGTGACCCTGGGTCTTGGCCAGGAGCAGATGGACTGCAGAGGGAGTGTTGAGAGAGCAGCTGACCCTCCTTGACTCAGGACAAGTGCTGCATTCGGAGGCAGCCCAGTTTGTTGTTTTGCTGGGCCAGGCTGGAAAGTGTGTGTGTGTGTGTGTGTGTGTGTGTGTGTGTTTATGTGTGAGATATCACTCAATGGGCATGTGCAGAATCTGTCAGGGAGAAAATTCCAGAAAGAAGCCAGTTGGAAACTGCACGAGGAAAAGCAATTCTCTTTGGAGGAGCATGGGGGCCAGGGAATGGGGAAGGGGAGAACAGGAAGGTAGTGGAGGGTAACGTGAACGGGCTTGGCATTCAGGGGCCCTGAAATCTGATTTCATCTCTGTCAGTAAGTCACTCCACCCCCACCCCCCCCGCCTCAGTTTCCCCATTGGCAAAATCTAGGGGCTGGACAGGTGCTCCATCATCTCTATAGTTCCCTTCAACCCTGATTTTCTTTCATCCGAATGAATAGATGATTCCCCATAATGAGATGCCACGGAGGGACCCCCATAGGAAATGTTCGAGAGGTCCGAGGGACCCCTGGCCGCGGCCTGGTCCAAGGGCGGGCGCCCCCTTCTGGCAGCCCAAAGCCTCGCCGGGAGAACGTGCAGGTCTGAGAAAAGGGGTGGGGGGCCCCCGGGGGCAGGAGGGGGACCCGGCTCCAGGGAGCCTGAGAAAAAGTCGGGGGAGCTGGCTGTGCTGAGCGGAAGCACGGACGAAGAGACAGCGAGCCCGGGTGAGACATACCTTAAAAAGCCTGTCGTGTAAAGTGTTGGCGGCACCCCCCGTTCCCACCGCGCGCGCGCCCACGACAGACACTGGCACGTCCGTGTCCCGTTGTCCCCCCCCCCCCCCCCCGCCCCCGTGGCACCGGCTTGGTGCCCATGCTGGCTGCCGGGGGAGGGCGGGGCCTGCAAGCGCCGGCCCTGCCTCCCCTCCCCCGGGCTCCGGGGGCGCTGTAACCCCGGGACTGCCCCTCCCCCGGGGGGCACGCACGGAGAGCCCCAGGGCTTCTCTAGTGAGAGAGAGGGAAAGAAACTTCCTGTCCGGGGCCTTCAATGCTGTGTCTGGTTTCCGCCTCAGAGCCGGGAGATGAAGTAGGGGCTGTTTTTTCCGTTTGGGGCTCCCCCACCCCAACTACCATGAGCCAGCCTCAGCGACCTTCCTGCTCTGGGCCCAAGCTCAGTCCTCTTGGCTTCAGAGAAAGGAGTTCAGGGGCCCAGATGAGAGGGGGGGCTGCCCTCCCTTCCCCCCCCCCCGAAGTTCTGGAAGGCATAATTTCGCCAGCCCCACAGCCAGGGGCAGCTGGACTGCACGGCGTGTGCTGGGCCTGGGAAGGGCATCTGGGTGAGGACCTGAGAGGCCCGGGGTAGGAGCACAAGGATATTCTGGAGGAGTGTGGCTGCCCTGTGTGGGGCCTGGACAGGGAGAGGACAAGACTGTCCTATAGACAGAACTTCTGGGGCCTCTTGCCCCCAGGGAAGCCTCTCCTTCTAGGAACTGGAATCCGGGCCCAGTTGAAGAGCTGCAGGGAAGAGGAGCAGGGAGATGCCTTAGGGAAAGGGATCCAAAGTAATATTTATTGAGCACCTACTATATGCCAAATCCTGCTCCAGGCACTCGATGTTCCCAGTAACCTAAAGATTTTAGAACAGTTGGCTCTGTCTTGATTCAGTGAGAAAACAGGCTAAGAGAGATTACAGAGGTCACCCGGCAACACCTGGAATCCAAGTCTTTTAGAATAAAGGTTCAGAGACCTGAGACTGGGGTGGGGAATGGCAGTACAGAGGCAGTATCAATAACAGAACCACAGTATTGAGAACTGCAGAGGGACCCTAGAAATCATCTCCAGCATCATTATTTTCCAGATAAGGATGCTGAGCCTCAGAGACAAAGTTGCTTTATCAGAGTCTTGCTGCAGTGGCCGTGTCCCCCATTGCCCCCCAGGACATCTCTGCCTCACTCCATAGCAGCATGCAGCTCCCTTCCAGGGCAGGGGGAGACTGTGCCATCTAGGCCCCTCCTCTGGGAAGGGAGCTGTTCCTAGACGACCCCATTTGTGTGCCTGAGACAGAGTCAGTGGGCCAGAAACCGTGGCCCTGGCTTTCCTATCGTTCCTTTGGATTTGGGCCTCCGAACCTGCCCCAGTCTCTTCTCTGCTCTAGGCCATGCTCTGAGTCCTTGGGGCCAGCATGGTGCCTAGCACATGGTGGGCTATCAGGTTTGAGACATGAACAACTGAATGGTTGGAGGACCCCTGTCCCTGTGGCAGGGACCCCAGGCACAAGGTGGGGCCTCTGAGCCACTCCCGTAACTCTGCCGACAGTCCCTTTGTTCTTCCCTCTCCACAGGCAAAGAACAGAAGGAGACCAACATCGAATCCATGAAAATGGAGGCAAGTGTTTTGCTCAACCCCCAGGGGCTCTGTGGATCCTGATTCTAGAAGAAAGCCACCTCTCTGACCAACTGTGGCGAATGTGTGTGAGGGGATTCCTGAGGTGGTCCCGTCCCCTTCTTTATATGTCCCCGTGTAAGGAGGAAAGGAGATGGGTGTGGAGGTTAGAAGCCCCCCAACAAGGCAGCCAGCTGGTCCCCGTCTGAGACCAAGCGCCTCCCCTCATGGTTCACGTCCATGTGCCCCCCTCAGCCCGTGGCTCACTTCTCCAGCCCAAACAGGGCCTTGCCCAGCACTTGCAGGGTTGACATCTCTGGCCAGGAGTCAAAGCTCCTGTGTTCTGTTCGAGGTGAGTGCCTCCTCAGTTTCCCCTCAGGAGGAGCAAACCTTGCAGTGGGACTGTCAGTGCCCATCTTAATGCCAGTCTGTCTCTCTGTCGTCTCTCTGTCCTAGGGCTCCCGGGGCCGGCTGCGGGGTGGCTTGGGCTGGGAGTCCAGCCTCCGCCAGCGGCCCATGCCGCGCCTCACCTTCCAGGCGGGGGACCCCTACTACATCAGCAAGCGCAAGCGGGACGAGTGGCTGGCACGCTGGAAAAGGGAGGTGAGGTGCCTTCTGGCCTGGGCCCCAGCCTGTCCCACAGAATTGGAAAACCAGAAGTTAGCTTCAGCCACCCTCTGGAGCTGTTGTCAGGCCCCGGCTGAGCCTCAGTTTCCCCTTCAGGTTAACCTCTTGCACTTACAGGGAACTGCTTAACTGCTAGGCAGTGACTGGTTTCTTTTTTTGTTCAACAAACGTTTATTGAGCACTTAACCGTGTACCAAGTAGCGTACTAGGCTCTGTGCATATGTAATTCCCGGCCTCGTGGAGCTGACATTCTGATGGAGGAGATAGAACAAGACAGAAAAGTAAAGGAGGGGCTGAAATGGAGGATAACAGAGGCCTGCTTTAGGTGGGGGTGGTCAGGGGAGGCTTCTTGGAGGAGGTGGCATTTAAGTTAAGACCTAAAGGAACAGGAGAGCTGGCTCTGGTCTGGTCGCTCCTTGGTCTTTCAGTTCTCCACTGCCTCAATGCCTCTTGCTGCTAAATCCCTCTACTAGCTAGCTTCCACCCTCCGACCCTTGCTGCTCACGACCCCCATGGAAGGTATCTGGTGAGGAGCGGGATGGGGTAGAATGTTCTAGGCAGAGGAAACACCACAAGCAAGACCCCAGCTTGTCTGGCAAAATGAGAGACCAGTATGCTCAGTGTGAAATGAGTGAGGGAGAAAGTGGGGTCAGACAAGGCTGGGAGGTAGGCAGTGGTCCAATCACGTGGGGCTCTGCAGGTCTTGGCCAGAAGCTGGTATAATTCTGAGTACATGGAAGGTTTCTGTGCAGAGGAATGATTTGATGTGGATTAAAGGGGCAGCAGTGGAGACAGGGCAGATTCAGGACGTATTTTGGAGATAGAATCAGTAGGGCTTGCTGATGGATGGGAGGGGTGAAGGAGGGGAGGAAATGGAAGGACCCAAGGACAACTCGGAGGGGTCTCAGTTGAATACCCAGTGATGGTTGTGCCATGTCCTCAGATGGGGAAGGCAGGTGGAGAAGCGGGTTTGGGACTGGTGGGAATTGCCAGTTCAGTCTGAGAGGCCGAGGTGCCTGGAGCTCGGGGGGTAGGGAAGTCTGCGCTGCAGATGCAAAGGTGGGATGATGTCAAGAGCAGAAGCTGGTGTTTAAGTCCAGGGAAACTGATAAGCTCATCTAGAGACAGGGAGAGAGAAGAGGCCAAGTCCCAGGATCGCATCCACAGAAACTCCACCATTTATGGGCTGTGTAGAGAGGCCTACAGGGGCTGAGAGGCATGCCCATCGCCTCTGACAACCTGGAGGTAGCCGGTGACTTTTCTAAGAGAAGCTTCCATGGGGGTGGAAGCCAGCCCATGGCAGGCTGCAGCAGGGACAGGAGGTGAGGCCGTGGAGACTGAAAGACCAAGGAGCCAGCAGCCTATCAAGCCCGATGTGAGGGGCTGCTCTCCTGTCTGATCCTCAGAGACAAGGCGGTTGACCTCTGGCACCAGGAAGTGAGCGGAAATGTTGCTGAGTTGCCACCATCTGGGGCGTTTACCCCAGGCCTACAAAGGAAGGCATTACATTGTGTGAGAGCTTGCTCTAGGAAAAGGTCAGAACAAGGTAGGGGTTTGGCTCCTTGACTGTTTCCAGTTCCTTCGGGATCCAGGAAGGCAGAAATTTCTCTCCTGGAAGAGCCTGGAAAAGGAGCAGCCTGTCGAAGGTCCCGGAGAAGAGAGGCACTTGACCCTGAGCACAAAGTGTGGTCTTTGGGACGAAATTCAGGACCTGGGGCTGTTCTTGCCATCTGGTCAGTTGCCCACTAATCAGTCCCTGGCGGCCAGCGGGGGGGGTTTGCTTTTTCCTGCTCTCCCTGAGCCCGGGGGCCGGAAGCGTAGGCATGGTGACTTTTAGACCTGGAACATTTATAAGTTCTGTGGTTCTCAAACTATGCTCCCCTAGAGAAGCAGTATGGGAACCTGCTTTCAGCTGCCATAGCAAAGGGGATCTTCTCTCAACTCGCAGGAAAAATTGAGAGTCGATGCATTTTATCGATGTTAAGATTCCTACTAAAATTTAAAAAGACTTTATCATGCACCTCTTGTAGTATACGCAGAAGTACAGACAGTAATGTGCTGAACAAACCCCCACGTACCTTTCACCCAGCTTCAACGATCATCAAAAGCTTTTCTAGTAAACTTGAAGTGTTTGGCATCCGCTTCCCCAGTCCCAGCCAAGAAAGGTAATCAATGAGCATTATCAGAAAAACTTAAAAAGTTGATTTAATTCAAAGTGTTTGAGGTATATGTGACTTGAGATGTAGAGACCTGCCCCTGCCCCCAAAATATATTTTCTGGGGCGCCTGGCTGGCTCGGTCGGTCAAGCATGAGACTCTTGATCTCTGGGTCATGAGTTCGAGCCCCATGCTGGGTGTAGAGCTTACTTAAAAAAAAAAAAAGTATACTTTTTGCCAAACTGTTCCTTCCTTATGTATATTCTATGACTAAAGATGTCCGTAGAGAATTCTGTGCCTGCCAGTGCAGGTGTCAGAACTGCTGGTCCCCTCCCTCTCAGGCTCGGGGGGGCAGGGGCCGCACTTAGGTGCTGGCCACGGGCCCGGGCTCCATTCAGGCTTCCTGCTGCCCTCTGAGGCCTGGCCCCAGTGCTGTACCCGCCCGCCTTGGGCTGGGCCAGCGGTCTCGAGGAGAGCTAGCTGCAGGTGATAGCAATGTTGGGGAAACACGGGTAGCTCTCAAGACTGCCAGGTTCCCTTCAGACTAAAGAGTAGTAACTGTCACCAGCAGAGTGGCTTACCAGAGGTAAAGAAACCCTTCCTCCTCTCGTAACCTCACCCCGTTCCCTGGCATCGACCCTTTCTTCTTCTTCTTCTTTTTTTTTTTTTAAAGATTATTTATTTATTTATTTATTTGAGACAGAGAGAATGAGAGAGAGAGAGCACATGAGAGGGG